TCTCCGTCTCGCATAGCACTCGTTTGATTGGTTCAACTGAACGATGATTAGTTCGAATCAATGATTGATCTTGTTACGATGTAAAAAGAAGTATTGAAGAAAAGGAAAAGATTCACTTGAATTAAATTCTTCTTCCTTCATTCTCATCTTGTCTGTGTTAACTTACATATATATTTTTGGTACGTTTTTTTCTGTAACTATGATAATAAAGGAAAATTTTGCTAAGACAACATATTGTTGCTCATTCGATAATAAACACATTGTATCCCTATTATTGATAAAGCATAATATAGCATCTCATTATTCACTGCCGAGCGATCAAGTAAATCGTTAATATTTTCTATTGAAAGGAAAAAAATACACACACGAGGATACTTGCACTAAAAAATCGTCTTGTCATAAGAGCACATGATAGCAACGTCCATTTTTTATTTTTAATAGCTTTATGTCCCAACAGTCTCTTTTCACTATTATTGAGCGCATGATGAAAAACGAACGAGAAAGATATGTAAAAGAAAAAAGAAAACAATAGAAAATGAGAGACTCATGCACAAAAATGTTAATACAAAATTAAGAAGCTTGGCAGAATGAAGAAGAAAAAGAAAAAGAAATTATTATGACGTGACTTTTCCTTCTTGCCTTTATATACATTTTCTCTGTCTTTTTTATCTTTAACACTTATTCTTTTGTGTTGTCTATCATAGTGCCGTATATCCACATTAAATCTCAATGGCATCACCAATGGATACTTTTAAAAACAATCTTTTTGATCAATTGAAATCATATGGTGATGCTGTTCAAGATGCTTTTGAACAACGTATCGGTAAGTTTATCCATTGTATGTCAGATAAATGAAATAAACAATAATAGTTAGATTATTTGGTTTTCATACTAACATAGTCTATATTCAATATGCTTTATTCTCATGAGAAATGCAAATTTATTAAAATATACATAGATAATATTAGTTGCAAAGAGGCGAGAAGTTTAAAGTTTCTTTATATAATAATAATAATAACAATATCAACTATGAATATAGATAATTATTTCAATGTTCTTTCGAAAATTATGAAATAATGTTGATACTTGGTTTTTAGCTCGTCCATTACTTGCATTCAAACGTGATCTTAGTCGACCATCGTCTGCAGTTCGTACGTCATCTGAACAAGAGTCCGTTTTAAGATCAGAAAAAACAGCATTTATTACACAACAAGAATCAGTATCATCATCATCGTCACCGCTTGACATTATTGATATTGAAACAAGTAGTTCATTGAAAACAATATTAAATAGAGTTAAAAATACTTTATCACCATCAACAAAACGACGCACATCAGAAGACTTTCCAATTGATGATATAAGAAAACCTCCAGGAGAATGTCGTCATTCATCTATTAGTTCTGTATCGAATAGAAATCCTCGTCGAAATATATTACGTCATCATAAAAGTGTTTCATTTGCTGACAATAATATTCAATATGATGGTGATACTGATAGAAACAATCCATATTCAACAGATGATCGAAACGAATCTGTACGTAATGTTTATACACTTGCTCATCCGGTTGTAATGGCAAGTATTGATGAAATGACAACAAATCAGATAAATCCAACGGATATATCATCCACTGTTGAGAATAATGATTGTGATTTTGAACGTAACTTTCGTGAATCAATACGACCACGACGAATTTCAATTGGTAATAGCCAAGATTTAATTTATCAAGATCTATCAGCTGAAATCGTTTCTTATGTATTAAAACATGCATTACGAGTATTAGAGAAAGAAGATGAAGATTCATTATTAACAGAAAATGAAAAAGTTATTAATAAAAATGAATATAATGAAGATTTAATTGATTTAAAATAGCAATTACAAATTTTTACATTATTTCATTTTTTTTTAAATCTTTTTCTGTTCTATATTGACCAATATTATATTAATCACTCTATCATATTAAAACTTTTAATAAAAAGCGATGACAATAGAATAATAAGAACCATGTTTTCTTCGAGTTTGATTTCGCAGCAAAAGTCAATGGTTGGAAATAAGAAAATTTTCATCATTTCTATTATCCGAAACAATTTGATTATGCCGTTCCTATAGAAAATATGCATAATAACATTCTTTTATCTAAAATAATTTCTCTTTATACATTATACAATGAAAATAATCAAGAATTGTATGAATGTGCCCTAAACTTGTATTTTGGCTATCTCAGATTTTAATATATACGGAAAATGTAATTTGACAGGACATGATGTACATGAAAAAAAAACAAAGTGAGAAAAATCCATAATTGATGTTTTACTATTACATAGTCAATATAAAAAATTTATTGCTTGATTCATGAATTATCATGAGTAATTTTATTCTTTATGTCAGTTTGAATATTGCTTTTGAAATCAGAACTTAATTTCTTAGAAAGAAATCATAGAGCTACCATGCCTCTCAATACCAATGAGCAATACAAATACGGAAAAATCAATTTAACAAATAGAGCAGTGGCCTTCATTCTACAAATGCATTTGTTGACGTACACAAATAACACTACATTGTTATCAACTATTGTGAAAATTGTTGAGAAAAAGAGATTATGAGTGAACTACTCAACCTGTTACTCGCCATCTGAGTTCACATTGGATTCATAAGAAGATCTCGGTAAGACTAGAAAGATCCTAAAAAACGTCGTGTTCATGAACCTTCAAGTCAAGTTATGACTCTTTTACTGAATTTTCGTTCCATTATTAGATATTTACCGAAAACAAATAACATAGTTTTGACTTGATATTTTGTCTATAGATAGATTTAATGACTCTAGGAATATGCTGAAAGTTTCAGTCAAAATAAATATTCTTTTGTCAAGATGTTGAATTTCCAAAAAATGTTCGTTTACCACAAAATCGAGTTTACTTGAAATTCAATATCCCGACAAGGAAATATTCTTTTCCGTTGAGACTTTCAGCATATTTCAAGAGTTCTTAAAAAAAAATCTATGAACAAACTTTCAACTCCAGAAGCCTATGAGCACGAACTGTTTAACGATTTCTCTAGTCTCACTGACACCTCCTTGTGTACTCAATAAGGGCTCAAACGATGAGTATCAATTTGAGTAGTTCTCTCGTTAGTCCGGTAATTTATTGAAGTTTCTTCCCGATCATCACGGTCAATCGGTATTCAATCACATATGATCAGACAAGGAGAGTCTTTGTTGTGATTTTTATTCATTAATTGCAATACAAGCAGATATAAAATCTTCGTTACATACAATTCTCATACTGTAGCAAATCAGTAATCCTACGTATTCATGACAGAAACAGTTCGGCGACATTAATCGATCAGGTTTTTTTCGTTATACTGGTAATATCGATAATTGATCAATTTGAGATTTATTTTTGATGATACATATTTGGATGACGATATTTTTGATCACCAACTTTTTTCAACATTCATTTTACATGATCACTTCTCAATAAAGAGTACGTGCTGCTCCAGATTGATCATAAACTCACTCTCACTCTTCGCTGTTTCTCATTGTCAATCAAGTCAATGATTTGTGGGTGTCGTACGTCTGTATAAGAACCAAAGTGTAGTGTACACAAGAAAAATAATATACATAAATTACGACGTTAACTTAGGAACCACTATTTTGTAATGTATGTATAGTTTTTCTACAAATACACACACCCCATTCACTCATTGCTTTAACCAAATATTAGTCTGTTTGATTTCTGAAAATAGAGTGTTCAATGTGGATGACAGCTTATGTATCGTGTAGGAGCAAGTGTATCATTTACAGTCCGTTAATTACATAAAAAATATATTTCAATTACTGCTTTTCTTATATGAGGATTTACGTTCCGTTGATTCTTTGGAAGAAGAGAACTAAACAAATGAATAGCCACTATGACAACTACTGTATTGTCAGAACAAATTTTCAATACATTTTCCAAATGTAATTTTACAGCATGTACTATTAATTATTTGGAAGCTCGACATGCTCGAATGACCAAACATGTTAATTCTCTACATCAAAATATTTTCATTCTGATTGATTTACTGCAAAACAACTAACTTTCGAATTGATCGAAAGAATATCAAATGACATGAGAGCTGCGACTCCCAAACCTTGGAAAAATAAATTTATAACAGATAAATGTTTGATGAAATTGCGACAACCTTATGATGAAAATTGCACTGGTATTCCAGCGTTCTTAAAATCTGCTAGATTGAAACATTGTTCGACGCCCATCAAAAAGTAAAACAATAATCTCTCTTTGGTTTTTGTTATTTGTTCATATATTTATTGGTACTTTCTTTTTATTCTAAAAATACACGTACATTTATTGTTGCAATGATTACTTTTTTTCATTTCTTCTCTTCTTCCATACAATCAACAGAAAGTAAATTCTAACATAAGAAAAACACGAATTGAAACATGCTTTCTATATAATCAACGGACAGTCAATCGTGGGAACCGACGAAAAATATTTTTCTTCCTGCACACTTTATCTAACATCAATTCTTAAGTTCATCTTAAGTCATTTAGAATGGTTTCTCTGAAACATATCGTATCACTTGGAAGATATGACTATCATCATCATGATCACTAATCAACAAAATCCGATATTGCTACAAGATACACGCACAATCTCACCCACATGCAATGTTGTGCATGTCAGATCAAGCCAATTAGTCTAGGCTCAAAGCAATTGATGAATAGGGTGTTTACATTCTGTAGGAGAATCCAAAATATTTTCGCAATGATACAGAAGCTCTATTCATCTAAAAAATTTTAACAGGATATAAAAGTTTATTAAAGTGGATGATATTTTTGCATGACATTGATTAGGTCTTGATAAATAATTTTATTTGCTGTTGTAGCCCAGACAAAATCGAAATGATTGTAATTAGAAATATATTTTTCGTAGACTAAATTTTGAATATTATCTAACACATAAGTAACATCAACTGGATCAGCGAGTCAATCTTCACCGGCTCAAAATAATGCTGTTGGTACTGTCATTGGACGAATAGAATATAGTGGTGGACTTGTTTGATTGTAATGTAATTCATTTTTTTCTGGTGAACCATAATTATAAGCTTGAAATTGATTTGATCTTCCACATTGCATAAAATGAACCATATTCTTGACGGATGTTTCAGATGGTCCATGTGATGTATAGACAGGAATACGTGAACTATTCATATTCTTTTTATCTGGTTCACCAATGATAAATAACACATTTTCACAAATTAGGCGATCGAAAAAAAATTCTCCACAAGCATATTTTCCAAGCCATTGTAGAACAGGAGATGTTGGTAGAAATTCATTTCGACCAAAGAGTTTATGCCAATAACACTCGAGTTCTTTACTGTCAGTATCTAAATATCTTAAAGGTGTTTTTTGATGTCCTATTTGAGCAATTGGTGCAAGAGCTGCCCAGAAACTAACATTCCTTGGAACATCATTACTTCAGTTTCCAAATTCAGCAAAAGCAATCAATGTTCCTTGTGAATGACCAATATAACCAATTTGTGTATATTTTGTTACATTTAGTATATAATTAATCATTGATGGAAGATCATCTTTTGCCATTTCATCCCAACTAAAATCCCAAAATTCTTCATCATAATCAGGATTGTATTTAACATGTGCACGTGAATAATAATTTCCACGAACATTACCAAGCCAAACATCATAGCCAGTATCCGGTAGAATAAAAGCAAGATTTTGATCAGAAAAGTTGATTACCCATGTGGTAGCAGTATCGAGAAGACCATGTTGAAGAAGAACAGGTCGTCCTTTTGCTGATGATTTTCGACCGTATGGAATACGAAAAACACCAAGAATATAGCCATCATTTGTAATTACTTTATGTTCTTCACATGGATAACCTTTACTTTGAATCAATTGTGTAATATTATAATCACAATCTGGATCAAGTTTTCGCAGTTGTGACACAGTTATAGAATGACATAGTAACAAGACTAAACATACTGAAAAACCTAGAACGAGGAATGAGAAGAAGATAATAATTTGTTATAAATCTAGGCCATCGACAGTTCACTGACCCAACATCATCTCTCATGAAGTTCTTGTTTTCGTTATCTCAAAATTCAACACAGAGATAATAGACGCTGATATTTGTTGTTTTTTATCTTTAGATCAAAATCATGTGACTATGAAGATAAACAACAACAAACTTTGATGTTATTTACGTATTTTTTAATAGATTCAACAAGAATTAGAAGTCTGTTATTTTCATTGAACTGAATATTCAAAGATTACAAAAGTCAAAACGTGGAGTTTATAGATATATCATATTAAAAAAGCTTCACTTATCAATTAAATATACGGCTCATTAGAAATCCAAATAGTTTGGGTTTATATATAGGTCATCGCTGTGACATGATGCATTTCATTGTGCCCTATTTATACAGTAACAATATCAATCGAATTTTTCAGAAGCACGAAGAAAATGATTTGAAAAGGATCGAGTAGCTTCTTTGTTGAATTCCTTTAGATTAAACTTATTTTTAGTCATAATTTGATTTATCATAATAATAGTCTATCTTGATAACTTGACCTGACCTCAAATACTTTCATATACTAACAAAAAAGTAGTGTTAACATGTGTTAACATACTTGCAAATACTTCATCTACTTAAACCTACTATTAAATTCAAAGTACACCGTCTCGCATGTGCAGTATATTTTTAAAAAAACTTCACAATTGATAAGATGTACAAACAATGGGCATTTCTAAAATATTTTTTTTGAAGAACGATTATTTATTCATTGAAAGAAGCTGTTAACGCACATGATATGATCAAAAATGTTATGAATTTATATTATATAGTAAATACATACGAAAAAAAATGAAATACAACAAGAAGTGAATTAGTTAATTAGGTGGATGATATTTTTTCATTACATTAAGTAAATCAACATAAACAAGTTTATTTGCTGTTAACGCCCAAATAAAATCTATATGATTATAATCTGGAATGTATTTTTTATACACAAGACTTTGAATATTGTCTAAAATATAACTAACATCTGATGGATCAGCAAGCCAGTCTTCACCACCTGAAAAGATTGCTGTAGGTACTTTCATTGATCGAATAGAATATTGTGGTGGTGTTGTTTGATTGTAATGTAATTGATTCTTTTCTGGTGAACCATAATCATATGCTTGGAATGTATTTGATTGCACTCCTTGTGCAAAATGAATCATATTCTTTACAGATGTTCCATCAGGTTCATGTGATGCATAGACTGGAATTCGTGTTTCATTTAAATTTTTCTTTTCGGGCCCAAACAGAATAAAGAAAATATTTTCACAAACAACTCGATCAATTATAACTTCTCCACATGCAAATGTTCCAAGCCATTTTATTATATAAGATGAAGGAAGAAATTCATTACGACCAAATAACAAATGCCAGTAAAGTTCTAGGTCTTTAACTATAGTTGCAGATGATAAATATTTTAATGGAGATTCTATATGCCCTACATGAGCAACTGGAGCTAATGATCCATAGAAACTAACATTATTTCGAATAACACTATCAGGACGACCGAATTCTGCAAAAGCAATCATTGTACCTTGTGAATGACCAATATAACCAATTTGTGTATATTTTGTTACATTTAGTATATAATTAATCATTGATGGAAGATCATCTTTTGCCATTTCATCCCAACTAAAATCCCAAAATTCTTCATCATGATCAGGATTGTATTTAACATGTGCACGTGAATAATAATTTCCACGCATATTACCAAGCCAAACATCATAACCAGCATCAGCAAGAATATAGCCAAGACTTTGATCTGGAAAATTCATTACCCATGTTGTAGCTGAATCAAGAAGACCATGTTGAAGAAGAACAGGTCGTCCTTTTGCTGATGATTTTCGACCGTATGGAATACGAAAAACACCAAGAATATAGCCATCATTTGTAATTACTTTATGTTCTTCACATGGATAACCTTTACTTTGAATTATTTGTGTAATATTGTAATTACAATCTGGATCAGGTTGTTGTATTTGTGGAAGACTTCTTGAATGGCATAATGAAAATAACAGAAGCAAACATAGAAGACCTACAATGAGATTGAGAAAGATATGATAGTTAATGAGAGATCTCGGTCGTTTACAACACACCTACCGAGCATGATTTCGTCTAAATTGTTCTGTATTCTATCTTCATACACGACACTTGCTTAAGAGGTCTACATCTTTCTTTTTGCTTACTTTGAGATAAAAATGATATCAAACTGAAGATAAAAACATCGGACAATGAAAGGATGACATCTTTTGAGGTGACTAACTCTAGGAAGTCAAGAAAACGAATGCCTGATTGAATATTATTTAGTGCGAAATCATATACTACATATAAGGTGGATGCAATGGAAAAAGGCATCATGACAGAATGAAATTGAAAAAGGGCAACAAGTTTAATGAGAGAGAATGGAAAAAATCTATGACGTGAAAGAGAGAAAAGAAAACGAAATGAAAAGCAATTCAATGCGAGAGATGAATGTCGTAAGGTAGACATATAATGAGATGAATCTGGGTCACTTTGTTTGAGGAGCCCTGATATATCAGCCAAATATATCTGTTTGTAATAGTGACTTGTGAAATGAGTGTAAATTGTGTACAACTTATCATTTAAATAGCAAACAATTAAAACTAAACGCTTGGATAAATTGAATTTGATTAGCGTAACAGAGAAAGCTTATATTGTTTTCAATAGTTAATTTATTGATTACATTGTATGCACAGTTTAC